GTAAAGTAAAATGACACTACAGTGTTATCTGCTATAGCTTGATTTTTTTCAATAAAATGACATCTAATAATGAATTTGCTAACGTATATAATACAAAAAGATTGACTAGTCACAAAGAACGATTGAAATGACATATTTTATATTATTGAGATAGTAAAAGCACAAGTCATCACACTCATATGTATCGATTAAATTAATGAAATATCTATCAACTTTTGTACGTGTCATGTACATATTATAATATAACTAGGCTTCACTTATTATTTTTAGGGAACAAACGGACCGTAACTGCTTAAACTCGTATTTATGCACGTAACAGCACAAGTATCGTTTTCATGTCCAGTAACAGCACTTGTGTTGTTCCGAAAGTTTCACCTATATCCAATTTTTTCAACAAAATAACATTTAATAATGAACTCCCTAACGTATGTTATTGACATGAAAATATTTATGCTTCGTTAGGGGGTCCAATATTTGAAATCATTGTGCTGAAATAAAATCAAAATATAGGAGAAATCAATAGAACGGTAGAAGAGCCGTTACTGAAATAAAACGACCATTCCATGTTTTATCTATAAATATGAGTTGAGAAACATGCTCATTAATTGTCAATCTAACCTCCTAACAATGGCACAACTGCCGTTATGATTGTAAATTTACTTGTTCGTGAGAACAACACTTGTGCCACTACTAAGATGAGAACGTCTATAAGAACTTCACAATTATTATTATGCTTGTAAAAATATACTTGTCTATAAAAATGTCACTTGTGTCGCTACTAAGATGAGAACGTCTATAAGAACTTTATAATTATCATTATGCTTGTAAATATACTTGTTTATGAAAATATCACTTGTGTCGTTGCTGAGATGAAAAGTCTTTGAGAACGGTATTAGCACCGTTAATGGAATTAAAAGTTCTAAGAGAACAACATAAGTGATGTTACCAAAATATAAATTTATATTATTACTTTGAGAACAATACCACTTTAGGTGTTTAATTCTAAAGGTTGTAACTTTGGAAACAAACAAAAATGAAGAAGAAATCAATAGAACAACTCAAGTGCCGTTACTGATAATAAAACAACACTTGTGTCATTTTATCTATAATTACGAGTTTAAACAGCCACAACTGTCCTTGAGTCAAGAAGTAATAAGTTGAACTTAATTAAGTTGCAAGGTAGACATAACATTTAAAAAAATAAGAGATATGCTCATTATTTTTATTTTATTGAAAATAATAGAATCACTTGTACTTTCAACAACTTTATATCAAATAATTTGCATCATTTCAATCGTTCTTTGTCAGGTGATTTATTTTTCTCGCGTACTTTATAGATCTAATGCTTGAGGATGAAAAGTCATTAAAAACAACACTTATGCTTTTATTGAAATGAAAAGTTCTAAAAGAACGACACAAGTGTCGTTATAGGAAATATAATTTCTCCATAAAAAGGCACTTGTGCTATTACTTAAAGAAAACTACACTTTAGTCGTTCTATCTATAAATACGAGTATAGATAACCCCGAAACTCATTTTCAGCTGCAAGATGGATATGTCGTTTATAAAATTTGAGACTTTCTTAATTATATTTTCTACGAATCAATACAATGACTTATGATTTCACCAACTCGGTATAGTAGAACTTATGTCAATTCAACCACTCTTTGTTACGTGATCAACATTTCTAACTTTCTTAAGTTAGTGGATCCATGTTTGAGGTCACTGCATTGAAAAAGAAGCAAAATATTTGAGAAATTAATAGAACGACACGAGAACTGTTAAACGACACTTGTGTCGTTCAATCTATAAACACGAGTATACGTAGTCACGACCCATCCATGCCCCGATAATCAATAAATTGAACTCATTTCAATTGCAATATAAATATTCCGTTTACAAAAGTTGAGAGATATGTTCATTGATTATATTTTCTAACGAATCAATACAATGACTTGTGATTTCACTAACTTAATGTTGTATAATCTATGTCAATTCAATCAGTCTTTGTCACGTGATCAACCTTTTTAACTTTCTTAAGTTAGGAGATCCATGTTTGAGGTCGCTGCGTTGGAAAAGAAGCAAAATATTTGAGAAATCAATAGAACGATACAAGAGGACACAAGAACTGTTAAACGACACTTGTGTCGTTCTGTTTATAAACATTAGTATACGTAACCACGACCCATCCTACCCCAAGAATCAATAAGTTGAACTCATTTCAATTGCAAAATGAACATTCCGTTTACAAAAGTTGAGAGATGTGCTCATTGATTATATTTTCTAATGAATCAATATAATGACTAGTGATTTCACCAACTCAATGTCGTATAATCTATGTCCATTCAAACGTTTTTAGTCTTATGATCAACCTTTCTAATTTTCTTAAGTTAGGAGATCCAATGTTTGAGGTTGTTGCATTTGAAAAGTAACAAAATATTTGAGAAATCAACTGAATAGCACAATAGCTGTTAAACGACACTTGTTTCATTCTGTTTATAAACACAAAGTACATGTAGCCACGATTCATCCATGTCCCGAGAATCAATAAGTTGAACTCATTTAAATTGCAATATGAGCATTTCATTTACAAAAGTTGAGAGATGTGCTCATTGATTATATTTTCTAACAAATCAATACAATGACTTGTGATTTTACCAACTCAATGTCATATAATCTATGTCAATTTAACCGTTCTTTGTGGCGTGATCAACCTTTCTAACTTTCTTAAGTTAGGTGATCCATGTTTGAGATCGCTGTGTTGGGAAAAGAAGCAAAATATTTGAAAAATCAACAGAACGACACAAGAGCTGTTGAACGATACTTGTATTATTCTATCTATAAACACAAGTATACGTAGCCACGACCCATCCATACTTAGAGAACCAATAAGTTAAACTCATTTAGGTTGTAAGATGGACATGATATTTACAAAAGTTGAGAAATATACTCATTAATTATATTATAATGAACTAATAGAGTAACTTATGTTTTTTATCAACTCAATATCATATGATCCAATCATTTAAATCATTTTTTATCATGTGATTAACCTTTCTATCTTACGCACTTTAGTGGTTTCGATGCTTGAGGTCTTGAGTTAAAAAATAAATCCAAATATAGAAGAAATCAACAGAATGGCATAAGAGCCATTACTAAGAAGAAAACGACTCATGGGTCATTCTGTTTGTAAACACGATTATAAAACGGCCATGTCCTGTTCATGACTCCGAGAACCAATAAGTTGAACTCATTTAGGTTGTAAGAGGAGCATGATATTTACAAAAGCCGAGAGATATACTTATTGCTTATATTTTAATTAATCAGTAGAATAACTTATTCTTTCACCAACTCAATATTACATGATCTATATCATTTCAATCATTCTTTATCATGTGAATAACCTTTTCATTTTACTTACGTTAGATGGTCCAATAATGTCTTTATCTTGAACATAAATCAAAATATTGGAGAACTTAACGGAACGATATAAGTTTCTTTATTGAGAAGAAAACGACCCTTGTATCGTTCTATTTGTAAACATGAATACAAGCAGTCATGCCCCATTCGTGTTTCAATAAATAATAAGTGAAACTTTTTTACATTGTAATATGCATATGAAATATACAAAGGTTAAGTAATATGTTCATTAACTTAATGGACGCATATGAGTATGATGAATTGTGCTTTCACCATTTCGATAATATGAAAGCTATGTCATTTCAACCGTTCGTTATGATATTCTCAACATTTCTATATTACATACATTATGGAGTCTGTTATTAAAGGTTATTTAATTAAAAAAGATTAAATATAGGTAAACTTCTGAACGGTACAAGTGTCGTTACTGGACATAAAAACAAATCATGTGATGTTACATGTGTAAACACAATTATAAGTAGTCATGACCATGATCCATACGTGTCCCTAAAAAATAATAAGTTGTACTTATTTATGTTGTGATATGCACGTGACATGTACAAAAGTTGATAAATATGCTCATTAATTTAATCGAAACATATGAGTAGGACAACTTGTGATTTCACCATCTTGAAAATATAAAAGCTATGTTATTTTAATATTTTTTTGTGATATGGTCAATTTTTCTGTGTTACTTACGTCAGTAGTCCATTATTAGAGATTATTTCGTTGAAAAAAATTAAATCACAGTAGATAACGACTGTAGTGCCGTTTTGCGCAGCGAAAAACGATTGGAGTGATGTTTTACATTTAGAATAACAGTTAGAGTGTCATTACCATCCGATAATTGCAGAAAACGAAAAAAAAATAAAAATGCTAAGCATAAAAATAACACCAACTTAAATATTATTTAATAATAAATGTACAATTTATATAAGATTTCTAAAATTATCTTTCTTCTTTTTTCAAATCTAAATGAGATTTTTCGATATAGATGATAAATGTTCAAAAGATATCCAAATAGGTGAAGAATATAATGAAGAATATGATTTTAGAGTAGCAATAATGGTTGAAGAGAAGAAATTGGGTTACTGTGATTTTGGGGACCAAAAATTGAATTGGGAAATTTAATTGGATTGATAAGAGTGTTAGGTCTTTTCCAATAATGAGAGTATTTATAACATTTGACATTATTTGTTTATTGTACTTAATAATTGAAGGTTATTTGTTCAAAAAATATTGAAAGGAGGTTATTTAACCAATAATATTATTTGACCAGGCTCTTTACCAAATTCCCCCTAAGAAAATTGAGAGACCAATTCTCTGATCCTTAGATATCGCAAGTCAAAAAAAAAATTCAAGAAAGATGGGAATTAAAATATCTCATCTTTCAATTTTTTATTATTATTTTTTCTTTTCTATAAAAGAGAGACAAATGAAAGACTTTAGAACTCAGTTAATAGTTAATACAGAAGCTTCCGGAGACAGACTCTCGTGAAATATCTAAGCATGAACTCAATCACAACCGTTCATCATTCCCTCATAATTCTAATGTACTAATAACAATCTAAGAGCACTGTTTAACCACAAAAAACATCTTTCAATATATATAAAAATAATTCATTCACATTCGATTGTTTATGTAAATCCGAGGATATAAATTTTTATAAAGCCTGCTTCTGGAGGCTTCTTTTAGTCTCAGCGCGTTGGAAGGGAGAGTGATATTCATCTCCCTACAAGTTGCGTATCCTACTCCTCAAAAAGATATGGAGTAATCTTTTGCATTTGTTGAATATTTATGCGTTATATATAACAGGGTCGCAACTTTCAAGTTTTTGGGAAATAAAATTCGTCGACAAGAATTTTTTTGTGTGGGTTTAAAAAATGGCAGCTGAAGATGATAAAAGCAATGATTTTTATGCGATTTTGGGTTTGAAGAAGGAATGCACTGCAGTAGAGCTAAAGATTGCGTATAAGAAGCTGGCACTGGTTAGAATTTGAGTTGAATTTTTATATGAAAAAAGGCACTCTTTTGAGACACCCTTTTGTAATTCATGTAAATGGGTCTATTTAAAGTCTTTCTTGGAATTGGAAATTTCAATTCTTTTGGGGGCAAAAGGATTTTTAAGAAAATTCTGTGTTTTTGATTGCCTTGGGTTTGAGATTTGAGCAATCCATTCTTTTTTTGGAATTTAAAAATTTATATTTCCGAGGCCTTGGTTATCCCATGCTCTGTTTTCTTGAAAAATTGTATCAGTATGCATAGAGTTCTGATAAAGGTAGACGCTTTACTGAATGAATGATAAAAGATTACAAATGTCTGGAATGTATGGAAACAATCTTCAAAAATTGTGTTTTTCGTTATTCTGCTTGGATTTTAGGTCGATTTATTGTTTAATGATAGAAATGGCACCCGGATCGTTGCGCGGCGTCAGGGAACTCAAAGTACGTGGAGGAGGCTAAAAAGAAATTTCAGGCCATTCAACAAGCCTATTCAGGTATTTGCACATTTTGCTTTCATGCTATGTATTCTTGCTTCTATAAAAAGCACCATGTAAAAAGCATCTTAATATTCTAGGAAAATTGCTTGACTTGAGAAAAACTCTGCAGTAATGATAACTTTTGACGATGACAATTCGTTGTTGATGTGAATTTCCTGTCAGAATTCAAAATATTGAACCGTTGCTACTTGATTACAGAATAACGCATTTAAGTTTTAAATTTTGGTTTTTTGGTCTGATTTTGCTTCACTATTTTAAATAAAGATTAGAAATTGTTCATTATTGGTTGTTAAGAGAGAGCCAGGGACACTTTTCTTTATGCAATGTGTGGTGATCCATTTTTATTGTTTATCCGTAATAATGAAACTGCAAGTGCATTCTGTGTGTGATAATTGAACTAAACAGAAGTTGGATGTTTGCAGTGCTTTCGGATGCCAACAAAAGGTTTCTGTATGATGTAGGAGTATATGACTGTAACGATCATGAAGACGAAGCTGTGAGTTATAGATTTCCACCATATATCTGAGGTTTAAAAGTATTTTGGCATTTCACTGGTCTTGAATTCAAGAAACTCCCTATAGATAATTGGGATCTCTCTCAGATTTTATGAATTTTAACTAATTCTGTATTTTGGGATACATTTTGTCCCTCAAGTCTGTATTTAGGTTTTTGATTCTGTTCTAGGTTGCATGAAGTGGGGGTTTGAAGTACGACCACTTATTCAATTCAAATATTTATGATGATATGCGATAAGATTATAGATGATTTTAGTCTTACATATAAGGTTATAGATTCAAGATTGATTGAACTTAAAGCAATAGTTTGGTGCAAAAGCATGGCTATTTGCTCGGGGCATCTTCATAATTCTTTCTTTGAATGGGCTAGAAAGGTGCTAAACAGGAAGGGGAGAAAAGAATGAAGTATAGGGTTGTCCATAAAAATGTTGGTACAAGAAATGAATGTTTTTGTAGCTTAGTTCATTTGAGAACTAACGGGAGTCTTTTCGTGCTGATGATGCAATGCAGGGTATGGGTGGTTTCTTGAATGAAATGGCAGAGATAATGAATCAAAATAACTCCAATGTGAGTTACTGCTCTCTACTTCATTGCAATGTTTAAATGAACGCTCAATTTTACGCAAAAAAAGAGAGAATTTAGATTTACATAAAGAAACAACGGAAGGTGTTAGTAGTTGAAATTGGTGCAGAGGTTGACAAATTTGAACCCCAGTTTTTTTCTCTCCACTATTGTTGGTTTACGGCTTGTTTTTATCCAGAGTCCTTATAAATGGCTTATGGCCTCTGATTTGCTCCGCTCCAATTAAATGTTATGCAATCTCAGGGCTATCAAAATGCTTTGTCCCCTTTCCTGGGAAAATGGTACTTATAATTGAATTTCTGTCAGATAATTCCTTCTTAAAGGGAAAGAAATGCCTTATTGTTCCCTCTTATATTGGATATTAGGAAAGATTCCTCGTCTTTTGTTCTGATTTTTACAAGCTTTGAGTAGGTATACCACACTCTTTTTGTTGGGAAATAAAGTATCTGAACAATTTTATGGCTTTTCATTGGTAATGTACATATATTTTATTTTTACATTCCAAGACACTTGAAATTGAGTTTAACAATTGTTCCTTTTCTAAGTGAAGCCATTTTTATTGAAGAGCTTTTTTCTAAATTGTGAAAATTTTGAGTCCAGCAAGAGGCCTTTTGAAAAGGTGGTGTTCATCACAAGTTAAATGAGTATGTTTTCTTGCCTGCTGTTTCTGCATTTGTTTTTACATTTTTGGCATGTAAAACACCTTAAGAAACGAGAAACAAAAAGGAACGAATTAGGTCCCATTGCAATTCTGAGAAGTCATAATCCATCATTAAATTATTTACACTTCTTAGTGGCCGGTTAAAGTGGGATGTTAGTTGGACTTTTTATCTGATATTGATTTTCAAGCCCAGTGGTGGACCACACAATTTGCCATTTTCAGTGGAATTTGATGTGTCATAATCATATATGCAAAGTTTCAATTTGAACTTTTATGCATACTGTTCAAATGTACTTCTTTGATTGACAGGATAATGGAGGGGAGAGCTTGGGGGAGTTGCAGGAACTATTCGACGAGATCTTCCAGAGTGACATTGAGCCATTCAGTTCTTTTTCCCATTCTTCAACCCCTTCTGTATGTTCTTCTTTTAATGGAATCTCTAGTGCCAGCAACAAGAGAGATTCCTCAGAAATTAGCTCAGGCAATTTGAAGGTTGGAGGTACTCAATTTGAAGGATTTTGCATGGGGGTATGTCCATTAACAATGCTAAATGCACAGACAAATTGCACAGATGAGTTTATAGAATGTTGGATGGCAACATTTCATTGGATTTTGGACACAAAAACGAAGTTAAAACAGTCAATCAACTGTTGTCATCTCAGCACATGTAAAACTATCTGTGTAATTTATTTGTACGAGTATCATTTCTAACGTTCCATTTCTTCTTTCTCAATGAATCTCCTGAAAGATTCTTTTCGAGTTTTATACATGACTTGTAGGGTATTTGACGTTTTCTACCTTTGATCATCTTTGAAGACAGGTGGAATGTTGGGGAAACAACAGTCGGGAGAAAGCGGCAGGAAGAAGAATATCCGCAAGGGCCGGAAGAAGTAGGGGGGACTGCCATGATGTCTCGTCGAGTATCTTAATATTTCTGTTGGTAGAAGACGATGCAGCCTTATCGAAGCAATTGAAAACCCCGTCACGTTTGTCCCTCTAGCTAGGCCTAATTCGGCATGTAAGACGAGTACAGGAATTTGAGACCTTTGGTGGAGAGTTTTACTTTTTAGAGTGTAACAGTTTGAAGTCACTGTGGGGATTTTAAAAATGAAATTTAAATAATTAGATGTTTCTTCTTTTATATTTATAAATGAGCTGATTTAAATGTATCAAAGTAACACAGCATGTCCTGTGTAAATTTATGACAATCAAGATATGAGGTGTCTTGATAATGAATGTCATTGGAACGTCAAACCCAACGTCAAACAGTGAACGATTTAACAAAATTTGAGAGCAGCTTTGTCGTTAATAAGGATTAAATCTAATTAAAAGGGAACACAAGTTTTGAACGGATCATCCTAAATGGATTGGGATCGCTTCGTTAAAGTCTTGCCGCACGTGCAAGAGGTGTGATTAAAAGTCGGAATAATAAGCTTCTGATTTGATTTTATTTTATTTTTTGGTCAATGGATGTGCCAGGGTTTAGAGAAATTACATGAAGTGCAATATTTAGACAAAATTTTACATTGAGCGTATAGTTATGTTTACTGCATGAACCCCATTTGTCCTGATTGCAGTTCGTATCCCCCGCTCCCCCGGCTCTCTCTCTCTCTCTCTCTCTCTCTCTCTCTCTCAAGAAGAGAACGCCTCATATTTCACAGTCCGATTGCACCATGGTAGGTTTTTATTTGCTAAGATGCAAAATTATGTACATGAACACGGTAAGATAGTTCTCTACACTGTGGACCCAGATTTAATTAATTGAATTCTATTAAGCAATGCTGTGAAGGTGTTTGGATACTTTGACCCAATAAGGTATCTATATAAGCATGAAAGGAAAAGGTTGAGTGAGGCATCATTTTCTTGATGCAGAATTCATGAATGCAGTGAAATTACTTGGTGACATAAAGGTTGCAGATTTATATTGTTTGCATGGGCGGAGTTCCATTAGGTCCAGTGCGGGCATCTGAATTTTCGGGCTTCGGTAGGCACAATTTATTATTATTATTATTATTATTATTATTATTTTAATATATATTTTTGGTAAAGCCTGGTTCAATCTCCAACCCAGATGGAAGCCCAATTGCCCATGACCCGTTTACTGACCCAGACCCGAAATGTTGATTTAATTAACCCATTTTCATTGAAATCAAAACCAAACCCTTGCTTGAATTGCGTCTCTCTCGATGCTTCTCACCACTCCAACTCGCAGTCGCCGACTTCTAGTTCTAGTCCACTGGCGGCTGATATCTCCTAGATTATGGGCTCTATTCTCCGACCTAGGAAGTAGTATCCCCAAAGTCCAAACCCCAATCCTCCCCCACCGCAACTTCAACATCCAACCGCTGCCTGCTGCCACCTGAACAGTTGAACTGCAGAACCGTTCAACACTTCAATCGCCAGCTGCTGCTCGCTAGCCCAACGAAAGAAGAAGAACTGTGTGAAATTGTAAGTTCAAGTTGCTTAAGATTTGGAAATAGTATAAATTGCATTGTGAAATTGCGAATTAGAAGGTGAATTGATATTGTGAAATTGGATTGATAATGTGAATTGTGAATTGCATTGTGAAATTGCGAATTGGAAGGTGAATTGATATTGAAAAATTGGATTGATATTGTGATATTGTGAATTGGATTGTGAAATAGTATGAAAGCAATTGCAAACTGGAAGGTGAATTGATATTGTGAAATTGGATTGATAATGTCAAATGTGAATTCCACAGCGAATTGAAATTGTGAAATTGTGAATTTATGATCCTTTTGTCATTATGAATTATTCTCACTCACTCCCAGTAATAATTGGATCAAATGTTTAAATCCAGATATCAAATGAATAGATACTTTCAACGAAAAAGGAACGTAGATAATGTTGATGAGGGGGTATCGAATAATGTGGAATTTGATGTCACAAAATTTCCAAATGATCTTGGTCTAAGGATACCCATTTTGGATTACAATACTAACATTCGAGATGAAGTTCAAAGAGCATATATGTTAAAGGGTCCTTGTTAGCCCGATGATCATGACTTTCCAAAACGACAATTTGGAGTAACAATTAGACAATTCAATCCTTCGTGGTTTAAAGAGTTCGGTAGTTGGTTGGAGTACAGTATAGAGAAGGATGCTGCTTATTGTTTGTATTCTTATCTTTTTCAGAACAAGTTCTGGAAAGCAAGGTGGAGTTGAGTCTTTTGTTGGCAAAGGTTTTACATATTGAAAAGATAAAAAAGGCTTTATACTCATGTTGGACTTCATAATAGTGCACATAATCAATCTCACATTAAGTGTGAAGTGTTGATGAATAAAGAGCAACACATTCAATCAGTTTTCTACAAACAGTCAAAACAAGCAAGAAGTGCATATGTTACACGTTTTAATGTATCCATTGATTGTGTTCGAGTTCTTTTGC